GAGGGTCACGTGAGAAAAACCACACCTCTTACTATAATGACTAACACGCATGAACAAGCAACAATAATGGTAACAAAAACTAACTGATATCAAATTGAACCAAACCACATAAACAAAACTGGAGCAAAAGACCATCTGATGGCGACCTTATAACAAGGGTCAATGGGGGGAGAATCATGGGCATTGGCCAATCATTTCAATCAAGGTGCACCCCAGCGCTAGGCTACGGCTATGGTTAGCTGGGTTTAGATATTTGTATATCTCCCAAAAACACACACAGAGGTGGAAGGGCCTGAGCAAAAGCTAATACTGATCTCAGCTCTAAAACAAAGGCCTGAGCAAAGGTATATGCTGATCTCAGGATCCAAAACAAAAACACCACCCTAAGTTAGACACCAGTACTTTTGGAAAGCACCCACTAGTCCCTCGAACGAGGGAGGGCTCAATCGTAGCTCTGGGTCACTGTGGTCTTTCCCCTGTGTGAACCAGACCCATGCTTACTTAGTTGGTCCAATGCTCTAATAACATAATGTATATACATAACAAAAATAAGTAACCATAATTTATAATTTAAAAGTCAAATTTACAATGCATAAAATTAAATTTGGAATTATTGTCCAGACACAACATAAAAGTATCAAAACAAATACAGTAATGCAAACAGGAAAACCTCCCAAAATAAGAAAATTAGAAAGTACATTCAAGTATCAAATAAATTTAAGTTGCAATCATCCGATACAATTCTAAGAATATACACACCTAAGCAACTCGATTGCCTCGACAACGAAGCACAAGAATTTTTTTAGCAAATACGAAGATATTTTTATGACACACCTCTCAGCGATAATCCTATTCAACAAAATTTTGGTAGTAATTCAGAAGGCAAAATTTTAGAGTACACATTATACCACTCAGACTTTCCACTTCCAGAAAGATACCTGCTGCCGGAAACCACCCTGATTGCAAAAAAGCTCCAAAGAGATATTCTCCTTTTTAGATCAAGGTCAATGCCACAACCACCCAACATAGTAGTACACAACCTCAGCTCCTTTACATTAACACGAGCAGAGATTAATCTATTAAATAAAGGCCTTTTGTTTTTAACTATTCCCAATTTTTCAGCTAAAGATCGCTTAACACATTTTAGTCAATATAATCGATTTGAAAATTTAGTTAGAAGATCATTTTATAACACGTACGCAAGATCACCCACCTACACAATATAAATAATGAATAATTAAAATCAATCAATTAATTGCATCATACATGTAATCAATGGTGATGGGCGATATGGCCAATTTTCTTAATTTTCGATAACGATCGATAATGGACTTTTTGAGGAATATCGATTATTAACGATACGATAACCACACCTTCATTTAGGGGTGTGTCAAGGGTGTGGCTAATGATTTTGGCACTGTACTGGACATGAGAGAAGATCATTTCCATGCTCTTGAGCCTTGTTCTCTTCTTATTGGGGTAGGCTGAGCTAACAACTGGTCAGTTGCCTCTTTCTTGCAGTTCAACAGTGCAATACTTGTTAAAATTAGTTATTTAACCTTAATAAACAGGCGTGGTCAATAGATCGATGAAAATTGCATAAAATTTTCGATAATGATTCAAATCGATTCCGTAAAATATCGTTTATATTGATAAAGAATCGATATATCGCCCATCACTAGTAATCAATAAAAGCACCACATGGCCCCTAATAATGGCTACCCAAGTCCACATTGGTCTCCAGTACTAGCTACCCAGGCCCATGCTACACTCCCAGAGGAACTAGATGTACATGTAGGTGAGTTGCCATCTACAAACAAAGGCTATATCCACAAAACCACAGTGCCTACACCAGTTTTACACATGCATGTACTACAAAAACTTAGTATCAGCCTACTAAAGCAACTCTAGTTTAGGACTATAAAGATTACTTAAAACTTGCCTGACCTGACTGAAGTGGATTTGGCAGAGCAGGGAGAGTTGGGCGCCCGAAAAAGCGTTTTAACCTGCCACATCTCGTTCTCAAGGCCAGACTGCCGGTCCCTTCGGAGGTTCACGTGAGAAAAACCACACCTCTTACTATAATGACTAACACGCATGAACAAGCAACAATAATGGTAACAAAAACTAGCTGATATCAAATTGAACCAAACCACATAAACAAAACTGGAGCAAAAGACCATCTGATGGCGACCTTATAACAAGGGTCAATGGGGGGGGGAATCATGGGCATTGGCCAATCATTTCAATCGAGGTGCACCCCAGCGCTAGGCTACAGCTATGGTTAGCTGGGTTTAGATATTTGTATATCTCTCAAAAACACACACACACACTAATGTCATTGTTAATGGGTGTGGTTACTTAATTTTTAGTTCTGGCAGTGTATAAAGAAACCTGAAGCAATAGACCAATGGCCAGTGGGTAGATGGGCTCATGCAGGTGCTATTATTATAACTGGATCAGACTGTCCTATGCTAGTGATAAGTGGTGGGTTGGATAAGAATAATGATACATTAGATGATTGTTGGATCTTTAACATCACTCAATATTCCTGGATAAAGGTATGTTAGCTATTATTAATAATTGATCTGTACAGTGAGATACATGTAAATTATTAATTTATTTATATTAACAGTTAGATGTACCTCACTCTGTTACTAAGAGATTGGGTCATTCTCTCTCAGTGTTCATTATGAGTCCTCATTGTGTCTGGATAATAACTGTTGGAGGCCATGTTGATTTGAGTCGGGCATTTGTCACTAATCCTAACATTGTTATGTTAACTGAACTAGGTCAGTGTATTAGCCACACCCACCAATAAATACTATTATTACCTAATAATTTCCTTTGATGTATTTATTAATGTTGCATTAGATCCACACCCTCTAATTAAAATTATTATTAATATTGTATTTTAGTTACTAACAATAAAGGAGAGTGGACAGTAGGTGATACATTAGATACCAATGGTATGAATAATGAAGAATACCAGAAGTATCAGCAGCAACTACAGTA